ACAGATTGCAGTTGATCGAGGAGCGATGAGAACAACATTGGGACCGACTGGCGACTTTCGCTTAGAGGGCCCCGAGAGTTGAAAGCCGTTCCAATGCAGATGAACTCGGCAAGGCCCTTGAAATTTTCAGACGGTGAAGTGGTCTCCGTCGCTACAAAGGCTGTAATGCGCGGCGAAGTTCGTCAAAACGCTTTCGTGGAGTGCCCGACTCGGAGATTATTCAACGAGAAAATGTATCGTCAGCTCGAGAAACGGCGGATCAAGATTCGGTATAATGTACATGACCAGCAGCACTGCGCGTGAAGGAGAAAGGGAGAATATTTGGATCTTAGGGAGACGCACGCGTGATAAGTATGGTATCTGCATCTGATCTGCTTCTTCAAAATGGTTCGTGATTATTCTCTTTTTGTTTCCATAAAAAGTGGAACCTTTTTAGTGTCGATTCGGTTTGCCGCACGCTCTTGGACCCCGATCTTGCTAAATACATGGTCAACTTGCTGAGATATGAATTATCCATGGAACACAAGAACAAGACTAATATAAATATGCAAGGAAGAAGAAGGCTACAAATTGATTTCAACTGCAGACGAGCGCCGCCCGATGCAAAATCATCACAGAATGAACTGAGAACAAAAGGCTGGAGCTTTAATTCGACCCTAACTCGAGTCCGTGGCCTCCGACGCATGACTTGTGGCCCCCAAAAAAAAGAGATCTCGCCTCGCCTTGATGTCGTGGCCTGTTTGGCCCCCGATACGCGACGTGACGCATCACGTGTAACCCCTTCTCTTTCCTACACGCCGTAACACGGTGCACCCATCGACAATTGGTCAACAGCACTCGCCCGATTCTGATGGCCATTTCGATTCTGGGGGCTCAATACGGTTCCTTCTCCCTGTCCGGCCGTCGGATTAACAATAACGCAGGCAACATCTCAACATCGTCCGAATCTCTTCCGCCAACTTCCTGCTCATCAACTCAGAATACTCAGAATCGCCCCCAGTTGTTACATCTCATGTGGAACTATGCTTCCCATTCGTCGCCTTAAACCACGCAAAGTTACATCAATTCGCCCTTTTGTGGAACAAAGGCGCTCCAAGCATCAGCGGCCACCGACGCTTTGACCACGGCTTTGCCACTCAAGCCGATCTAGTCAGATCAAAGCGTCAACTTGGCCCTCGAGCATATAATGGACTTTCGTTCGTTCTTGTCCTCCAATGCACCAACCCGGATCCCCAATGACAATACCAATTTCAGCTGACGCTGTACTCACCATGGCGCAGGCCTTCGGCGGCGTGTCGATGTCGATGAACACGACGAGCTACCCCAACGCGCACACCCCCATCGCGACCCTCCTCGACCCCTGCCCGCGCAAGGAGGAGAAGGAGCGACGCAAGGCGGAGCGGCGCGCTGCGCGCCTCGCCAACCCCGCGCCGCCCGACGAGTCCTTCGGCGGCATCCTCCGCCTGCACGCTCGTGACCTCAGGCTCTTCGGGCGCGCGGAAGCGAACGCGCGCGCACGGGGGTTCGCGGGACGGGGCGGCGTGGTGCGCTCGGTGCCCAAGCACAAGGGTGCGCGGCACGCCGTGCTGGCAACGAACCCGCACCCGCGCGCGGATCCTCTCGCCGCTGCTGCCACCGGAGGCACCGCGACGCGAGCCACCGACAAGCGCGCAGTACAAGTGGAGATCGCGGCGGCGGCGCGCGAGGAGGAGCGCCAGAGGCTGCTCGATCTGCGCAAAGCGCGCGTGATCGACCAGGCCCAGGCGCACAGGGCCATCCAGGACCTCGAGATCGAGGACCAGATACAGAAGCAGGTCGCGGAGCAGAAGCGCCGCGCGGCAGAGGTGTGTTTCAGTCGTACGCTCGCTGAGTCTCCAGGTCCCGGCTGACTGCTTTGCTTGTGCTCTTGCAGATGCAGGCGCGGAAGGACGCAGGCCAGAAGTCGAAGTGGGAGGAGTACCTCGAGAAGCAGGAGGCGCTGAAGGTCGAGCGCGAGCGCGCGCAGGCGGAGGCCGGGAAGGGGAAGGAGGTGCGTGCTTTTTCCTTTGTCTGTACTTCCATACTCACCACTTTGCGTCGCAGGCGGAAGCTGCGGAGCAGCGCCACGAGCGCGAGAAGGCTGCGCAACGCGAGCGCGAGGAGGCAGCGCGGCGTACCCGCGAGCGGGCGGAGGCCCTGCAGCGCGAACGCGAGCGGGCGGAGGCTCTTCAACGCGAGCGCAAGCGTACGGAGGCTCTGCAACGCGAACGCGATGCTGAGGCCGGCAGGGCCCAAGAGGTGTGTCTCTTTGTGTCCACGCTCTGGTTGAAACTCACGCGCTCCGAAGCAGCACCTTGCCCAGCAACGCTACGAGCAGGAGCAGGCGCACCTCGCCCAGCAGCAGCTCGAGCTCCAGCGGCAACAGCGCCAGTATGCCGAGGAGCTGGAGCTCCGCGCGCAACAGCAAGCGCTTCTCGCTCAGCAGCAGCGGGAATACCTCGCGCAGCAGCAGGAGCACGCTGCCTCCGCCTCCGCTGCCCAATTTCCGATCTTCGACCCCGCACACGCTGCGTTCCCGGCGCAGTACCAGCGCGCTTACGCATTTGCTCCCGCCGACCCCCAGTCTGTCACCCTTTCCGTCGGCCAGCGCGCCGCTGCGTCGCCCGACATCATCGCTCTCCTGGAGACGGCATACGCACATGCAACGCCAGACGTGCGTGCGCTTCTCGAGGCGGCCTACGCTACAGGCGTGTGCGCAGGGGCGTACGCCGCCGGATGGGCCGCCGCTGAGGAAGCGTGGCACTCTCATGTGCCGGTGCAGTGGGGGCAGCACGCGCAGGCTCAAGCGCGGCGGGGGCAGGTGTGGGGCTAGCCGTGCAGCGACCATTCCGAATCAGAGTCGGATTCGAGGTACGTCTTCCTTCCTTCTTCGTGCACTGGGCGGGCCTCATTTTCTGTGCCTGTAGAACTATTGTGCTTGCGCCCAGGATACTAGCGTTCTACACCAAGTACTGGGTCGGGCTGCGCTTCCACTTCCAACTGGCAGCAGCGTCCGCCCGCCACTCGAGCCTTGAACCGGGATGGGATTGTGTCGCCGCGCGTCAACTTCACATTGACCTTATTCTCCGCACTCTCGTCCCTTGGGGCTGGGTCGCCTCTGTCCCTTCCTCCTCCTTCCCGTTTCCAGTTGCTGTATTTCTCGGTGTATTTTTTCCTGTCCTCCCCGCCCTCCGCTCTCCTTGTAGTTTTAATGCCACGCGTAGGTAGCCCAGTCGCCCCCGCTCATGTATTCGATCGCGGCTGAATTCGGGAATTCCGGGAGCGCTCATGTCAAGTTTAAACTTCTCCCAGAGGATTTCTGGCCAGTCCACCTGGTGCGGTGTTGGCTGGTCGGATTCTTTTCCGAGGCGATGGTTCAGTGAAAGTAGTCAAGGTATTTTCGACTTCGAACCGTTGACCCAGCACGGACGTTTTATGATTCCGAGGATCCAAATCCGCATCGGGATGTCGCTCACCAATATCTTTCGCGGGCGGCACAACGTTGAATGAGGGTACGGTAACCTGTCATCCACATTGGATTTTTTGCACCCTGATTATTGTTGCATTCAACTTAGAACGTCTCTTCTTATTACGGGAGATTGGCGGACCGGCCCGAAAATCGTCCTCACGTCCCGGGAAATAACCCGTCCCTACAATATGAATTCAAAAGTGGCAGAAAGAAAAACAGTAGCAATCATACACAGCCTGACCCCGAGTCGAACGGGGCTCCTGTATAGATGCATCGCACATGATACTATTGAACAGGTGCGCCCTCGCGCCATCGAGCTTTACCGCCTATCCCTGCGCGCGGCCTTGGCTAAGATTTTTCGAGGGGGTCTGTGTGAGATCGCTATTGCGCTGGTACATGACAAGTCTGACTTGCTGGTGAATGAAGTCTCCCATTCCTTAGGGCATCCCACCGGCCGATGAGCGCCTACCACCAATGGCGTACTCTCGTTCTCGAATTTAATTCCGCAAGCGTGTGCACTGACGTCTGGGAGCCGGACAATAGAGAGAGAAAAGGCGTTCTTGACACCACAGCCCGATCCTGTGTCGAACGGGGCTCCCTGGATTGTACAGGGCAAATTTGACTTGATGGGGAATGAAGTCTTCTCTTCCGTAGTAGATCTCTCTCCGCCCGTTTATTATTAACTTGAGTTCAATATGCATCGTGGCCTCTTTTCTGCTTTTGTGGATATCCGAACGGGGTTCCTTGCATTTATTCAACATTGCTTACGGACATGCATCCGGTGCGCTCCGGGCGCCATCGAGCTCTATTGCCTACCCTGTGCGCTGCCTTGCCCAAGATTCCTCGAAGGGTGTCGCACCTCTTTAAAATTCAATTGATCAAGCGCGTTCGCAGCTTTTCTGGACTTCCGACACTGAGAGCGGAGCAATACTTGTACACAAGGAAAATAGGAGCTTACGAAAAGCGTTGTCAATATATCAACCCGACCCCGAGTCCAACGGGCGTCTGTATTCATAATGATTCTGATGCAAGAACATGTCCGCCCTGTACCCAGCTATTAGGCTGATTTACTTGCCTGTTTCTGTCTGCAGCTTTTGTAAACCACATATACAGCGGACATACACCCACTGTACTCAAGGGTCCTCGTACATTCCATGAGCCCTGTGATGCTACTAGTACTGGAGAATATATCATCGGATGCCGGTCCTGGTTATATTTGAACGAGACACGTGTTGCGATCAAAAATAGTTCTGCCCCCAAAAAAGTGCATCAAACTTTGATCGCGATGTTCAACCCTCGTGCCGCCCTCCCTCTTATCCGGAAATTCTGAAAATATTACAGAGGGTGCCCGGGATGCATCGGTTCCCGATTCGGCAAGGCCCAGCTTGCGTGAATCCGTCGACGCTGAATTTTTCGCAGGGTCGCGTCGGCTATCAGACTTAAATGTTTCAGATCGTTCCTGGATGTTGGGGGAACGTTCCAGAAGTCCTCGGAGGTAAAAAGTCCAAAATAATGGACAAACTGGGAATTGAACCCAGCACCTCCCGCATTACGTAATGGGTTCACCTCCTAAGCGGGAACCACGGTGCGAAGCGGGCGCGATAACCAACTACACTATTTGCCCTTGTAGAGTTGCCACTCTCTTCTGCATATGGCAGTCGGAGAGGCTTCATATTGCCGAGGTGCTTGGGAGATGCACTCCAGATGCACACATACGAATCACTTCTGAAGAACCTCAGTGTCAACATAAATATCGGAAGAGCATTCAAGATAGAATTTCTTGCATCACCTGTCAAATGCCAAAAATCCAGGGAAAGGCGTGCACCGTGTTTGCCGTGGGATCCATGTCGTCTCACGACGCCACAGCGGCTGCCCTTCTTGGATGTGAGACCTTGGATGATCCTCATATCCTGCTTGAGGCAAGGCTTGAGTAGACGGCTATCCCGGCGGCCGTTGGAATCCAACGATCTGCATATCCGTGGGAATCCAACGGGTTGATTGCGGAGAAAAATGAGTTTTTTTTTTCGCTTTCAAGCCTGCTGCTCAGGTACAATAAAGGCCATCCATCCAAAATACGGTGCCATCAAACCCGTTGGATTCCAAGGGATATGCAAACCGTTGGATTCCAACGGCTGCCGGGATAACCGTGTGGTCATTTTCGAGCAAGCGCCCATTCTACTGATTTTCCTGTACGCTAATGAAAAGACCATGAGGTCATGAACAGGCACTCCATTCGATGGTAAAATGTAAGTGGTTCGAGGGCACCGAGACCGCTGAGGACGTCAAGATCTTGGAGTGCCTCAGGGACCTGCTTAGGTCCTCGGACTCAGAGGCGCGGAAGAGGGCGTGCCGAATCCTACGGTACTGGTCATTTCGCCCGTGCGCTGCCGTTTCGAATGGGAGCATTTGCGTCCGCCGCATGTCCCTCTTGAGCTATGTCTCGAATATTTCTCCCTAACCATGGGATTGATTTTGATTCAGGCAGGGAAATGTCGAGGTCATACGTAGTGCGGCAAAGACACTCGCGTTTACCACCAAGATTGCCGAAGGTGGAAAGGCCGCCGTGGATGAAATATGCTAGACTGTCTCCCAGAATTGCTTGACTCATCAGAATCGGCTGTATGGACCTGGGCGTGTCAGATTGTTAGGGACTCGTCCCATCATTTGGCAGTCGATGGCTACTTTGACGATCGGCACTACTTCCGGATGAGCCCTGGGAATGAGACATGTCGCCTGTATAAGCTTGATAGCCGCCTCGATTCGACGGAGCAGCTGTCGAGGAGAATGGAAAAAGGCTGGTGGGAGATGGCCGGCTGAGTTGAATCTTTGCTGCACTACTTCTCTGGGTTACATACAAACGGCGGTGCATCGCAATTTTTGCACTGTGGGACTTGGGGATCTAGGCTTCAGTAAATGAGATCTTTTACCCACCTGGCCAGTTGATATGTTGTTCAATGAGCATGGATCGATTCTGCGTACGAAATTCAGTTCATCCGAGTCCGCTGGAGCACTTCAGCTGGAGCGGAAAGAAAGAAAGAAGGACCTAGGCGCCGAGACGATTCGTGGTCGAGCTTACTTATTTGTCGTGCGACTCAATTCAGCCAACCTCTTCCTGGGCTTTCGTATGATCCAACCAACGTTATCCAGGACGCAGCGAATGAAGGAAGGAAGATTGAGCACCTGTATCTGAATGATAATGGCGGCCATTCAGCAGGTGGGTCTGAGGTAGGGTACTATTATTGGCCCCCCTTTGAAAAATGGCGTAGCGTTGAAAGAAAAAGGAAACTGATTTTCGACCTCAATTTGGCCTCAATTTGGTTGAAATAAAAGACCACATAGATCTGCTTCCCAGGAGTCCAGCCATCAAATATTGGAGAAGATGGAGGGCAAATGAGCTCAGAATAAGATCAAAACTTTTCTTTCAAAGCTATGTAATTTTGGTGGCTACCTCGGCAACTTCATTGCGGCTTCAGTTGGGCCCCAAATGTTAAGCCGCCCGGGATTTGGAATATCTACTGTGTGGAGATGGTGCCTGCCAATTCCGAGAAACATTTATGTTCAAAGGGGGGTCGAAAATAGTATTGCCAGATAATTTACTTCATCACGACGTTTTGTATTCGAAGTCTGGATCGTGGGCAGCTGCGCGTGGAAGTCACAAAAACGCGTAGCTGAACATTGATGGAGATTTAATAACTAAGGTAAGAAGGTATCTACCGCAGTGCAAGATGGACGGACCGTTCGTGTCTCAATGCTCGAGAAACATTACGCATTCGGTATCCAGTCAGTGTTTGCACGAAAAATTCCAACCTTTGTTATAAATGCAGACTGCAGCGATCGCGCACGAGCGTCAGAGCGACGGAGCGACTGGGAGAACAAAACAGAAATACGAGAAGCGTGTCGGTGTCCGAAATCTCACCTCCCGAACGAGATGATTAGTAAATCAAAATTCGCGGGGATGGGGAGGTGTCTTGTCTCGGGTTGCTTACTCGTTCCCGTCCAGCCTTATGCAAACGTCATAGCTATCCATGCGTCCGGCATTCAGTGTTATGTCTGATAGCACCACACGTCCTACTTGAGGGGCCCAGAATTCGAATCCACCCCCCACCGAGTCGGCAGCCATGAAGAGGAGCAGGGCGGACGTACAACTGGACGCAACCTAGAACTTGGACGCGAGATCAGTTACTGTGATGCGACTGAGCTGCGAGTCGTGGGTCGTGCGGCCGAGATGGAGGATTTTATTGATATCGCCAGACTAACAATTCAGACGAAAACGGGCTTATTGAAGCAATGGCTTACCGCCTGTGCCAGAGCTGAGTAAACAAACCAAGGGTTCTCCGGCTCACAGAAATTATACCCTCGACCACCAAATCCAATATGGCGTCCTTCCTGCCTCCTCCCAAACTGAAAAAAAATAGCAGGGAAGGAATGACAAATACTCGGAGTCAGCTGGTTCGGAGCACAAGCCAACCACCGGTCCGCCGACTCATCTAGCACACTTCACTCGCCCGGCGCAACGCAGCGTCCAGTCGGATTTTCCGACACGCTGGAGAACTGCCTATCCAGCTGAGATACTACCATAGATAGTTTTTCGATATCGCCAGCTTGAGAAGTTCCCGCCCGCTGTATACAAGGAAGAAGTGTGCTGAGCGAGCTTCAACGGAGTTAAGAGGGATTTGTTTCCGGCGGGGAGGATCGTGCATCCAGAGTAAAGGGACGAGGAGAAAGAGATGCAGCGCGCCGAAGTCACCACCCACGCGTTCAAGTTCGTGCCCAGATAATTTTGAACCGACGCGGAAAAGGCAACCATCACCGAGCCAATAGCCAGAGATCGGCTGGGAGGCTCGTTTGTTATGTGGCCGAAGACTGCGGAGATTCGAGTATATATTTGGGAGACGCAAGTGAAATCTGGACGGAAGCAGGTGTTGTACATGAAGGATTCAAAGCGAAGTTTTGGAGTGAAAGTCGTCACTCAGCGATTCGAAAATTGTGCTGCTGCTGCGCCGGACGCAATCCTCGAGCTAAAACGTTACTTGAAGATCCCTCTCGTGCCTGGTCCGTCGAAGTTTGAGCGAAGATGATCTTTGAGTTTGAAGAAGTTCTGCATTCGGTAAAAGCTCGCGTCGAAAGCAGAATAGGAGGAACAGGACTTACGTCACGAATATTGGCGCGGGCCAGTGTGGGGATCTATCAGTATAAGGATCCGGCAGAGACGCCCGCCACATGCACATCGCCAATGGGAAACAATCGATATCCCGTGTAAGAGGAACCTCTACCTTCATATCCAAACATTGCACATTGGTAGTAGCCTTGAGGATCCCGCTGACGCAAGTAGAAGTATATTGAAGACGTCCGCGTGCAAGTACCTCCAGACTGAGGCGCAAACTGAGGAGAGCTCACAGTAAGGATCAGAGCGCACCAGGAGGATTGTTTCCGGATGCAGCTTGCGTTGATTTAATTTGTGCCCAATTTGTAATCCGTGGACAGAATAACCATCGCACGCGGCAGGAATAATACAGTAAGGCTTGTCATGGGCGCCGGACGAGAATATCCGCAGGACACGCAAAAAAAAAAAAAACTCGAAAGGCGCGAGACGACACGCGGAACATCCAGGGTATCTGCGAGACAGCTTGGGTATTTTCACCTGGCAATTTCAGCCCGTTGGTTCGGGCAAGGCACAAATGGCTGAGGGGCGAATTGCGCGGGTCGGAATTGTGGATGACAGTCAGAATGACCCGAATCCGATTCTGGAGACTGACTTTATTTGGCGAGAGGGTGTTCTCAATGGCTCTATTGAAAGACCTGGATGAGGAGTCCTCAAGCGCAAGACCGGCAGATTCGAAGTGAAGCTGGACCCATAGAAATACAGGACGCAGAAAGTTTGGTGAAAGTCTTTTTAAAATTCGTGCTGCGCCTGCCGCAACGCTCGAGTTAACGATCGAATGGTGGTGGGAATTCACAAACTCATTGACCATGCCCAGGATCCTCCTTGCAATTTCGGACAATGGGAACGTCTGGAGAGATGGAGGGATGTGCTGTCTTCCACGCACGCGGGTTGAGGCTCCCTGAAACTCAATGATGCTTGTTTAGCCAAAACGAACTTAAAGCATCGAGTTGAACAGATGTCAAAAGGGTAGTAGACCAAACTGCGACACAGCCCCCAATTTCTGCCACAGTACCCGACTTCGTGCAATGCGTATATGACACTCGCACGAGGATGCTCGTAATCAGCGATAATTTGATTCTAGTAAACATGCGAGGGTCGTGAAATGGTAAGCATAGAGTGAGGAAGGAAGGGAATACAAGGGACGCGAATGGAGGGAGAACTGGGACATAGGGGGTCGAATGCTGGCTAAGTCGAGGATCCAGCGTCTGGGCCACCATTGAGTAAGATGAACCGAGCACGAACGGAATGGACTGAACTGGTGGTCAATGGGACGGCGGCGCCCTGCTGCACTCGTGCCCGCTCTTCCACTCGGATTGCCACGAGGTGCGGAAGGAGCGCTTCAACTTCCTTCCACCCGCGGTGCCACTCAGCCGCTTGAGCGGGGGCATCCGATTCGTCTGGATCTTCATTGTCTTGGTATTCTCGGTTTGTCAGCAGCGTCTCCACGTGGGAGAAAACTC